AATTTGGTGTCGGAATCTATTCGGCCGTTAATTTAGGGCCAGAGATGAGTGAATGAGTTGTGAATAAAAGTGTGGATAAAAATGAGAGTACAAAACAAAACAGCAAAAAAGAGAGCAAATGTGAAATGATGTGAAAAAGTTTGTGTCAAAAGGGAATGGAGTGGATAAAGGAGTGCATACCATGTACTCTAGCTATCTATTAATTATAGTTAATGTATTAACTGTTACATGACCTACAAAACTATGGCTATTATAGAAATAAATAGAAATAAATATGCTTTTATATCCTGTACAGTTAGGGTATGATATTTATTGTACGCCAGTATATCACACCATTTGTAGTGTATTATAGCGAGCGTTCAACGTATGGCCAAAAAAGTAATAGCGAATAGAGTGTTGAGACCCATGTCTACAGTAATAAAGAAAAGACAACTAAAAGGGAGTGGAAAGAGATCGCGGAATCCACTGATTTGGATGGTGAGGGCACTAATGAATCCCCGGCAAAGAATTAGTTACCAAACATACCATTCCTCTTGATGTCAGTGCACATGATAACTGTTTTTTCGTTTTCCTTATTGTGAACTCACAACTCGTCTATACATTCAATACTCACTCTGACTATACTTTTCTCTCTCCCATTCATAGCCTATCACTTCATTAGTTGCCTTTTCTCTGCTCTCATCTCTTTATTAGTATACTCACTCACTATTAGTGTATTTCTATGTATTTTCCTACTATTCTCTCGTATGACTACATCCTATCACTCTCTATAGTGAACTAACAGAATGTACAGAATATAAGACAGTTTGTTATTCTTAGGGCTTATTTGCAGCAATTTAGGCATATATAATGAATTTAATAAATTACTGTCAATGAATGGTGATGTTTGCGTTAAATATATTCAAATCAATACATTAATTACAGAAATAATCGTATGTAGGGTTGACTGTTGTCGCGCTAAATTCATGTCTCAATCCTCCCATTCCTGTAACACTGGTGTCACATAACTATCAAATCTCATTCAAGTATTTTTTAGTTAGATTTTCGGGTTTTGCTTTTCCTGTAGATATATTCTGGTCGACCCTTTCATAGCGATTCATGTTATTTTTTAATCATTTCATTACGTAATCAACGGTAAAGCGACACAAAAAAAACTTAATTACAAACTATCGAAACGGATCTAATGTTTTGATTAAGTTTTTTAAGTAGACTATTATTTTCTCGTTTAAGAAAAACTAACAAAAATAAACGTTTCATTTAAATGTGCGATAAAAACAGCTGAAAATAATACACAAAACAAAAGATTTGAAACTTTATTTATAGCAATGAATGCAATAATGATTTGAAATTGAATTTTGAGTCCGTGTCCGACATTTTATTGTCCTAACCTCTGGATGTGTTCAGGGAATTGATTCTTATAATTTAGTGGTCATGTCTTTTGTAGTGGTATAACAGCCTCTTATATTAAATAAATATATGGTCGACGTAAATATCTCTTTAATTAAAAACCAGTATATTTTGTTGATATAAAAATTGGACGTACTTTCCAATTGTTTGACAATTCTTGTGTTTGAAATTATGACAAATTCCTGACCTATTAATTCAAGTAAAAATAGTCTTTTATTTATAGTTAAGAATTTAATTTAAGTTTCAGTGTTTCAATTTCAATTGTCATATTATGATAATTTTTGATTGATTAAACTTGAGCGGGGTATAAAATAATGACACAAATTATTTTTATCAGAAGATTCTGGTAAGAGTGAAATATCCAAGATATCCAAGACAGCGACTATGGGATCAAACGTAAAGACATGGTTTTTAGCGAAACATTTTTGCTGAACGAAGTCTTCGCTGAGACCGTAAGCGACTGAACGCTGAATGAAGAAAACTGAGTGACTATTAGCGGATAGGATTGAGAATAGATTTTCTCTGTTCCCCACGTTTTTTCGCAACACTATTACACGACTGACTATACAGTAGTTTCACTGAAAGAAACACAGAGTTTTAGATAAAACAAATGAGTCGATCGATTGATGAGTTGACAGGATTTACCATCACATCCAACGTGTGAGAGATCATCAAAATAAGTACTTTCGCGACGAAGAAATTTTTTCTCTTAACAGCATAGCATACATACCAGCGCTCTGTGCACCAGTCGCTCCCCATCCGAACCTATCAAATAAATTTTCATCACTTACTTGAGATGTGATTTACACAAAAAATAGGCTCAAATCCATTTTAACTCCCACTATATCTCTGTGTTGTGTTTGGCTTTTATGTTTCGAAATGGATATTAAAATATATAAAACTATTATAAAGATTATCTCGCCATTCAAATAATGTCATGAAATAGGGCACAAAGTTATATGATTTTGCTGTAAATCCATATAATATTTCATTATATTTCTCATTAAATGATAGCTAATATCTTATTGTATCATAATATGAGATTTGACTGTACTTTCTCATTTTCTGGATATTCCCGAGAGTTGAAATAACTTTTCATTTTTGTTAAATCAAATATTCAGTTTATTTATTTTTTTATTTTAAGAATTTTTTATACAAAAGTATGTGTTCTTTACATATGAATTGATTTGTAATTTAATTTTCTCGTTTTTAAAACACACTGAACAGTCAGTTTTCGTTTCACAAAATATATAGAAATAAGTTTCAAAAATTTTAGGGCATAAACACAACGAGAGAGACACAACAGTTTGCTATCGGATGTCTCGCGGGACTAGAATTTTAGTCGTTTTAAAAAATTATTTCACCAAAAAAAACCGTAATCTCCTCGCACTCCACCCGTTCCTCCCAGTCCTCCCAATCCGTTAACTCAATGCCCTTATTAGTGACAAAACAGTGAGAGTTAGTGTTTAGCAAAATGTGATTTTGACGTATAAATAAAGTGCATAATTATGTTTCTCTCTGTAATCTAGTCCCTTTTGTTCATCTCTCTCTCTCTCTCTCAGCCATTATCTCTATATCTGTCTGTTATCTCTTGTGTTTGCAATCAATGTTTGGTTTCCCTATCTCTGTCTCTGTCTCTCTGTCCCCCCATTTGAGTGACTCCTTTGACAATCCATTACTTGTTGTTATTTTTGTGTCCCTCTTATCCTCAGTCTCTCTATAACTAGAATTCCAATCGTTAGCCAAATCACCGGTTTTTGTGAAACATTATATGCGTTGAGACATAGAATTAACAGAATATTCTGTCGTGTATTCGCTTTTGTATTCATTACACCACAGAATAGATCAGCATTTCTTTTATAAGAAATCGATATATTTTGTATAATTTTACACAAAATGTTTTAGTTTTGCTTTTAGTTTTGTATGACATTAAGTGACATTTTGTTTAAATGTTTAAAATTTTGAATGTAATTCATAGTATTAAATAATTAAATACATTTATACATGAAAATTGCAAATTAGTTTTTGGTTTTGTTTTACAATAGTAGTCAGAGTCTGGTTAGTCTTTGGGATAAAAATGGGTTTAAAATAAATGTTTACAAACTTTATTATCTGTTTTGACTCGTATTCACATTAACAACAATAGATTGGAAGCATATCTTCAGGTATTTTACAATTTTATTTCATTACAAAAAAGTTTTTCCAATATATTTACATTCATTTGACAATAAATTCATAAAAGTATTCATTATTAACTCGTTTTAAAATTGTATGCATTGCATTATTAATCCAGATAATTTTTATGGGATTAGTTGATAGTCAATATTGAATTGTTTTCCAAGTGTTTGTATTTGCATTTGACTTCCGATAACACTTAAAAAGTTAGTTTTCTATATTAAGACTAGAAGTAGTTAGCAATCAATCCATTAGTTTTATGAAAATCCATATGAATATCGACTTTTTGATGTCTGGTTTGATGTAAAACAACGCCTTTCCCACTCTCTATCCTCCCCATACAAACACAACAATAAAATGTGTTTACTTTCCCAATATAGCAAAAAAATGTTGTGATAAAATTTATTAGTATTGAAATATTATTTGCAGCAAAAAAACATAGTTTGCACTCATTTTTCACGAATATTTGGATCCATAAAAGAGTAGAGCAATGAATAAAACGCTCATTAATTTGAAGCTATCTCTCGCCGATATAATAGTGTTGTTCAGTAAAGCGTATTCTGTATGAGAAAAGAGACACAAAAAATACAATTTTATTTACTTTTGCAATAAAAAATAATAATTTTTATATTAAATTTTTATTAATAAATATATCGCTGTATTTAAAGGGATATAGTAGTGAATGGATTGGCAGTACGAGTGTGTTTGTGTGAGAAAGGATGAAAAATTGATTAAATAAAATATCAATTTGTTTTCCAACAGTGAAAAAGTGGTGTTGAATTGGATTTTAAAAATATATATCAAACAGAAAAGGGATGCGAAGAGTAGTCGGAGACGAAAGAGTAAAACCCCAGGAAATGAAATATAAAATACATTATAGTTTTCGTCTATACTGTTATCAGCAGCTGTTTGTGAACATAAGTTTTATAACTTTCAATATATATAACATATCAAAGACTTTTTGGTGACTAAACTGTGGAGTAAGAAGAAAAAGGATAGGTTTTAATGGATCTCAATGTGTGTAAAAAGGAATTGAAATAAAAAACTAGTTTTTCGGTGTATTTTTGCTTAAGTTTTAGCGACCAGTCATGAGAAGAGGAAAACTTTTGTTTAACTGAAAAAAATTTCTGTTTTACTCTTTATTTGCTCTTATTTTCTGGAATTGAAGCACAAATTAAAACATAGAGAGACTGTCTATCCATTAAAACTTGAGAGAAATACTATGTATTTTTAGCTCTGGTTTTATGTATGAAACAAATCTATGATTCTCTTTCTGTGTGTTTAATAGTGAAGACACCCTTTGAGACACTGTTTCACGTTATTTATCACAAAAAGCTCTGGCGTTTCGGTATCGAAACTAATGTCTAATTAAGACTTAATGCATCGATGATAATGATTATACAGAAAATCTGATGACTCTATGAATTAAAAGAGAGTATTATATCTGAATCTTGTGTGGCGTCCAAAAAAGAGGTTTTCCACTCCACTCCAGTAATACTGCAAACTCCTATGTATAGCATAAATACATATAAAAGGATTTTTTCCAAATTAAACCGAATTTCCCTATAATTACCACTAATTAAGACAAGAGTTTTTTAATTCAAGAATTCAAAATGAATTTTCATGTAGTGAAATTTGCAAAAACAAAATTAATACTATTTCGTTAATGGCTTTTCAGTTTAAGGATTACATTAATGACTGTACTGTACACAAAGTTGGGTACCAGTTAGAAAATTAAGTTTTTATACAACAGTATAACACTTGAATTAATAATAAATTATCCAAAAAATAAAGCAATTCTTTAGCACAAAAAATGCGCTCAATATTTGTATTCTTGTATTGCATTAAATAAATAGCATTTATGAGTTAATACAAAACAAATGGACAAAAGTATGGCAAACCTGTTAAATAAGTGATGCGTTTCTTTCTCTGGTAATTGTTTTTGGATCCGTCGGGCAATAAGAGGAGACACTCATAATTGCTGCGATGGCTGCCATACGTCTCAATGAGTTCATAGTCTCTAATATCACTAGTGATGGTCACATTGTAGGCGCCGTTGGCGTTGCGGTCGATCTTTTGCACGATTTCGGTCAACACCTGAGTCTTACTGTCGTCGTCACTGACGCGATATATAGTCATTTCGGGCACCGGGAACACGTCCCGCACTTGACAGCTTAGGGTGGCACTGGTAGGCTGCCATTCAGGCGGCATATCCCGGTCCTGTTGGTCCCGGTCGTGCGGTGAGTGCTGGTGTTGTGGTAGGTGTTGGTGTTGGTGCTGATTGTAGTCGCCGTAGTGGCCGTCGGGTGCTGTCGATCCCAGCGCTGAGTGACCCGGATGTCCGTCTTGGCTGTAGTGCCACTGATGTGCGCCCTTTCGTGTACGCAATGCTAATTGATTTTCTGTATCTTTGTTTCGCGTGTAATTGAAGTCAAAACTTTTTGGCGGAGCTGTCAGTCAATCAAAATCATATGCATTATATTAATAATAGCGTACCAGTGCTAAGGGAGAGGGAGATTGCGATCATAGAAAGCAATGATTATATTTATAGAGAGAGAAAGTCAGATTTGATCACATGTTATACCAAACTTTCCCCTTATTTTGGTTCAATTCTTGTGTTCAACTCATATATGCATAGAATATATGCGAATATTTCTCTGTCTCTGACATTACTTTTAATGTAATCTCTCTCTCTTTCTCTCTCTCTCTCTCCCTCTCTCTCTCTCGTAGTGTTCTCTGTTCTCTGACACTAACTGAAGGGTTAGTTGAGTATGAAATCCAGAATTTATAGATAAGTATAAGACATGTAATAATTTTTAAAAAGAATATATATATATCTCATCTAATATTCAAAGAACTTATTATTTCTTAAACTTATTCATACGCTTATAGTTGTGGTTCACTCGTCATAATTGATGACATTCTTGTGATCAGTCATTATATTAATATTTATATGAAAAATAAGTATATTATACGAGAAAAATGGAAATCAAATGAAGAAAAATATGAAAATCTTTCTCTCGAGTAGTCATAGAAAATGAAGGGATAATATTGAGAGAGAGAGAGAGATGAACAAAAGGGACTTCACTGCTAAACAAAGTTTGAATTATTTGACAAAATAAAAAAGTTTAGATAAAACTTCTCTCTCTCTCTCTCTCTCTCAATATTATCCCTTCATTTTCTATGACTACTCGAGAGAAAGATTTTCATATTTTTCTTCATTTGATTTCCATTTTTCTCGTATAATATACTTATTTTTCGTATAAATATTAATATAATGACTGATCACAAGAATGTCATCAATTATGACGAGTGAACCACAACTATAAGCGTATGAATAAGTTTAAGAAATAATAAGTTCTTTGAATATTAGATGAGAATATATATATATTCTTTTTAAAAATTATTACATGTCTTATACTTATCTATAAATTCTGGATTTCATACTCAACTAACCCTTCAGTTAGTGTCAGAGAACACTAAGAGAGAGAGAGAGAGAGAGAGAGAGAGAGAGAGTCAAGTAAAAGATCCTTAAAATCGATTTTTAACACAACAAAGAGTGTTGTATAAGATTATTATTATTGATTTAAAAATAAAATGACATTATTTTAGTCATAAATTTAATTTATTGCCCAATGATTCCTAAAAACTATTTCTGCATTCAAAATATATTCCATATAAGAAATTCTCTTAAAATATTATACAATAAAAAATACATAAAATACTGATATATTATGTATAACTCATGGAATCGATGTAAAAGTTTTGGAGTAAAAGTTATATTTGAATTTATCATACAAAAACAGGTGGACAGTAGTGTTAGGGGTGGACATACCGTATACAATCATAGTCTCTTCCTCCGAGTCCTGCGATGATAGGGACAACACATGACACGAGTATTTTCCGCTTAAATCAATGGTCGGCCGCAGTATATTGAGGGCCCGGTATTGGGTTAAGGGGTCGGCAGTATTGACGGTGAAGTCCATATTGATTCTGCCCTGAAGTCGTTTGGAGGCGTGCCGTGCCTTCAGCTCCGGTATCCACTGATAGATAGGCTCCGGATCGTCGTTTAGGAACCATTTGACCACAAGATTGCTGTCCTCATTGGGGTCCAGAGTGTAGAGACAGTCGAGTATTATTGAGTCTTCGGTGCCGTTCTCCACAAATCGCGGCACAAACAGGGACTGGATCTCCACTTTTGCATTGCATACTGTTTGACGTGAAAATATAATGGAAACACATTATAGTGAGATATATATAAATATAAAAAATTATTTTTATTTTTATGTATCCAAGCATTTGTTATTAGTTTTTGTCGTCAATTTAAAATTGAAATAAATATTCCTTTCAATGCATTCATAGAAATAAATAAATTTGCTTTTGCTTTACAAATGAATTATATATTTTTGGTTTAGGATTTTTGTGTGTGCAATTGCCTTTTTTATATTTCATTGAATCTTTCACGAGAAATAGCATGAAATAACTTTTTATATGTAATTTGAATTTTAAATTTCATTGTATTTCATTGTGCGCCTAATATTCAGAAATTTGTTTTATTTATTTGGGCAAAAAATATATATATAATATTTTTCTACTCGTATTTTATACTGCGATGACAAATGAACACTCAATCATACGGTCTATGGATTAGAGATTCATTTGTGGAGTTTGAATGCAAACTGAATGATAAGTTTTTTGTCTAAACTTTGTTATGATAAATTAAAGTACAGGAAAGACATGGTTTTTCTGTACGTCTGATCAGAGAAGTAATTTTTCTTGAAATTTATATCATTTTCTATTTGTTTAGATTCAATGTACGAAAGTTTTTTTTGAACTTCAATGCAACTGTAATTATAGTGAAAATTGTCTGTCTCTCCATTTCCATTGCAATTAAGCAGTCATTAGAACTCTATTACACTAGTGTTCAGTCATTACTAGTGGGCTATGGATAGCACGCTGTATACGAGAGACTGATTTCTGTGTTCAAACATTTAGTAGTGATAACTAAAAGCAAAGTAAAGAGTTTTGTTTATACAATAGGAGGCTATAGATTGGCTGCAGTCAATCGATAGCCCGGTGTCCCAAATGAGAGCTCTGTTATACTACTCATGAATAAGTGAGAAGTCATTATTTGCTTTGCCATACGTTTTATTGTCTGTGTTTTTACATCGAAACGGATCTAATGTTTTGATTAAGTTTTTTAAGTAGACTATTATTTTCTCGTTTAAGAAAAACTAACAAAAATAAACGTTTCATTTAAATGTGCGATAAAAACAGCTGAAAATAATACACAAAAAAGAAAAGATTTGAAACTTTATTTATAGTAATGAATGCAATAATGATTTGAAATTGAATTTTGAGTTCATGTCCGACATGTCCGACATTTTATTGTCCTAACCTCTGGATGTGTTCAGGGAATTGATTCTTATACTAAATTAGTGGTCATGTCTTTTGTAGTGGTATAACAGTTTCTTATATTAAATAAATATATGGTCGACGTAAATATCTCTTTAATTAAAACCCAGTATATTTTGTTGATATACAAATTGGACGTACTTTCCAATTGTTTGACAATTCTTGTGTTTGAAAATATTGTAGTGATAAACAAAAGATAAAGACTGCGTTCACTACTAATAATATATTTTATTTAAAACATAATCAGGAGATGTTTGGTACAGAAGTGACTCTAAGTTATGAGAGACAACGAGTTATATAATGTTATGTGCATTCAGTTAGAGTTAGATAGGAATGCATAACAATCCTTGTATTTAAGTATCAATTACTACATAAACATTTCATAAGCAATTCATATTAACATTGGGTTCTTATTGTATTATATAAACTTTAAATATTCAAAACATATTCTTTAAACCTTTAAACATTAGTTATGAAACATTATTACAAAACCTGATAAGTATATATCCGAACGATTTAATTTATTAAAAATTAGTACCAATACAGAAAAAATTTAATCTAAAACACTTGCAATATTTTTATCAATGTTCTGACCATTAAATAGGACAGGTATTTTAAACATAATAATGGCCAAACATTTCTGGTCACCCGAAGTTCCCGTATAGCAAAAATGTTTCGCTAAAAACCATGTCTTTACGTTTGATCCCATAGTCGCTGTCTTGGATATCTTGGATATTTCACTCTTACCAGAATCTTCTGATAAAAATAATTTGTGTCATTATTTTATACCTCGCTCAAGTTTAATCAATTAAAAATTATCATAATATGACAATTTAGATTTAAATTGAAACACTGAGACTTAAATTAAATTCTTAACTATGAATAAAAGACTATTTTTACTTGAATTAATAGGTCAGGAATTTGTCATATTGCAGTATCTGTTTATACAAAACCTGATAAGTATATATCCGAACGATTTTAAATTTTAATAACTCTAAGTTTATAAATTAAAATTATGTTTAATATGTCAAATGATACAATGTTTATTAGTGTTCAATATGAAACCTTACTTTATAAAATATCTGTAAGTGTATCTATAATAAAGCCATTGACAAGGGATGACTGCATTATTTTATTTTCCAGTCTATGGGCTATATATAATGCACTCATTTTTCATGTAAAAAAGTCGCAACCTTAAACCAATTAAATTATTGTATTTTCACTAAATTTTGTTATCAAAATGGTATTCATTTTAAAGATTGAGATATAAATTACATGTTTATTAATGTATTTGGTCTAATAAACCAGATCCTATAAAATCATAATTGTTCAAAGCTTAAAAATGTCTGGAAAAATTAAAAAGGGAATTACGGGAACTTCGGGTGACCAGAAATGTTTGGCCATTATTATGTTTAAAATACCTGTCCTATTTAATGGTCAGAACATTGATAAAAATATTGCAAGTGTTTTAGATTAAATTTTTTCTGTATTGGTACTAATTTTTAATAAATTAAATCGTTCGGATATATACTTATCAGGTTTTGTATATGAGAGCTTTAATGATATAAAATTCATAGAGTTATGCGATCACTGGCCCAACGACACCAAAAAAATCTACCGGCGCTCACGCCAAGGGAGTCATAGCCGCTGATGATAGCCATGGCTTTTGGCTCATACATAGTGTCCCGAAGTTTGCCGCCCAAGAGGTATACATCCCTTGAGTTTAACATAAAGTTTTGAAAAACTTTTTTGTTTCATAACCTAATAGTCGGGCCATAGGTACGTATACCCAAAATCATCAAAAAGTAAGTAAATCATCAAAAATCGCTGCGTTAAGCGCTAGGAAGTGGAGTTCCGGTCCCATGAATGTCCAGACCATCACCAGCGCCGGTGGTGTAAACTTCACCAGTTTTAGCAAAGCACCGGGAGATCACGTTGACCTGTACTCCCAGATCATGGCACCGGTAATCAACACTAGTTTATATGTCGCGACGTGGAGACAGGGAGCGGGACATCCCTTACCCTCGGAGTGTAGTCTCAAGAAAACGGTTGAAAATATAGACGACATTAGCGTATTGTTTGTGAACTCAAGACTGAAGGGCGGGTTTGACTATCATAAGGATCATAGCAAGTGGGCCATCAGTAAGACACCTACCGTTCCCTATGTCTGTGTCGGAGATTTGAATCGAGTGGAGTCCCAGTTTAAGAGGGGTGGCGGACAGACATGTTTCCAAAGCCCTAACGTATGGAAACATATGAATGATTGGGTGATGGATGTAGAGAAGTGCGACAAAGTTTTGCCTACTTTTTGAGCACTAATTACAGTATTTTATAATTATTTGTTTTAATAATTTGTTAAATAAAATTATTTTTGTGATAAGATTTAGTGGTTTTTTGGTAGCATTTGTTAAGTACTATTAAACTTAAATTAAACTTTTTAACTGATTGTAAAGGTGTGTCAAAAAAACATACTTTTATTCCCATAATACATACCCTTATATTTATAATAATCACATAATTATGGTGTACTTAATAAGTGAATCAATTTTTTAAATGTATTAATATTACAGTGCAATTGAATTGATAACTTATTTTTAGTCAATTCAAAATTAAAACACTATTATTTAACACAAATTAATATGTTTTACATAACTCTAACAAAAATTCAATATACGATAAATAACTGTAAAGTAGGTGTTACTATAATTAACTAACAAAAAACATAGCTATTTATATTCTCATATAATTCCTACCCTTATAACATATAAATATTATAATTATTACACAATTATTGCTGTTTTAATCGACAAATTAATAATTCAATGAATTAATAAATAGATTATTGAAACATACAAATGATTATAGATGAGAAATATATAATAAAATACATACAGTATGTCAATATAAGATATATATTTCTAAAATAGTTTTTATAACTTTTAATAATATATTTTTATCGTAATTAATAACATTAATAAATTTTAAAACTATAATTTGTTTTAACAAATGAAAATTTTTTCAATATTATGTATATTTAATATAATCGCTATAATTAGATGTCAAACACAATGTAGGGATGAAAAGGGACAGCCTGTGGACTGGTATGTAGTCTACAAACTACCCAAAGTATCCGACTCCGGGCCCCCTTTGGACACGGGTTTGCGGTACGCATACCTGTCCAGTAAATCCCAATCCGGTTGGACTTTGTCTGATGTGGACATCAGTGACGAGACATCAATATTTGGACAGACATTAAGCCCACTATATGCTAAAAAGGTAGACCCGGGTATCAGTTATATCAATTACAACGACCACTGGCCTAACGACACCAAAAAATCTACCGGCGCTCACGCCAAGGGAGTCATAGCCACCGATGACAGCCATGGCTTTTGGCTCATACATAGTGTCCCGAAGTTTGCCGCCCAAGAGGTATACATCCCTTGAGTTTAACATAAAGTTTTGAAAACTTTTCGTTTATAACCTAATAGTCGGGCCATAAGTACGTATACCCAGCGTCTGGTGAGACCTATGGACAGACAGCTCTGTGTATTAGCTATAAAATCACTGAAATCGATAATATCCTTGATCAGTTACTGTACATGCACCCAAATGTGTATGCCATGCGTGTGAGCACCCACCTAAAAAGTAAATCATCAAAAATCGCTGCATTAAGCGCTAGGAAGTGGAGTTCCGGTCCCATGAATGTCCAGATCATCACCAGCGCCGGTGGTGTAAACTTCACCAGTTTTAGCAAAGCACCGGGCGATCACGTGGACCTGTACTCCCAGATCATGGCACCGGTACTCAACACCAGTCTATATGTCGAGACGTGGAGACAGGGAGCGGGACATCCCTTACCCTCTGAGTGTAGGCTCAAGAAAACGGTTGAAAATATAGACGACATTAGCGTATCGTTTGTGAACTCGAGACTGAAGGGCGGGTTTGGCTATCATAAGGATCATAGCAAGTGGG